TGTTTTGTGAATCGCTATAGCGATTGCAAAAAGCCAATGTCTAGCGAAAAAACTGCCATGCAGGGTAACTGTCTAGCGAGGCACCACTGTACTTATTTTCTTTCAACAATTGCTTCCTGGATAATGTTTTGTTCTGCCTTCCCTTGAGTAACATTTTGACCTGCCCTCCTTGGCCATTCTCTTTAAACTGGCTTTGCATTTTATTAGTTGGAAAATGCTGCTGCTTTGTTTTTCCCTTCCTTATTGGCAAAGCAGCTGATGAGGAAGAAGGGGTGGGGAGAATACAAACAACAAACCTTGAACATCCAAAGAAAAAGGAAATGCTGTATTGACAACTGTTGAACTCCCTTACCAGTGTCCATACATGCTCTGGGACATGCCTTACTCTTGTACTGCTATCTGTCTGTCTGTCTGCTTGTGGGAAATCCATCCAGTAGCTGCCTTTCCCTGGCTTCATAATGGTTTTTAAGTTGTTTCTTTGAAAGGCATTATCACTATAAGTCTGGGTTAGGGCACTGTAATGGTTTAATGATAATAAGTTACAGACTCTGGTCAGTTACACAATGGACGTACTGTACGTTTTGTCTTGCATGCAAGGCAGTCCCTTTCCATGCTGAAGTGGGGCAGAGGAGTGTGTGGGCAGACAGTGTGGAAAGGCAGAAGTCCTTCTCTCCTTTCCTGCTGCATTTTTAAATCTGCTTTTTGGTAAACTGTGTTGATTCCCTGTCTCCTCCTTTTCTTCTCACAGAATCATTCATGCGGTTGTGATCTAAAACAGCAGCCATGAAGATAAGGCTCTCTGCCGCAGCTGTTGCTGCCCTTTGTACAGCTCTTCTCCTCTGCTCAACAGGCGCTGAAGGTAAATCTTATTTTTCCTTCACTCCTTGAAACGTGATGGTGCAGAATATATATATTTAAAATAAGCAACAATTTCTCAGTGTGATTGCTTGTCTATACCCCTTTCTCTTTCCTTCTACTTTTCTTTCTGTGGTTTGTTTATTTCCAGCTGGATAGATCTTCTCCCTCATATTCTTTGTCATCTTTCTGGTGTGCTGTCCACACTGGGTGTCACTTCTAGTCCGGAGCTGCTTTCTGCCGGCCCCTTTCTCTCTCTCTCTCTTTCTCTTTCCCCCTCCCCCTTGGAGGCTGAGTGCTCAGGGAGAAAGAAGACACCTGTGCAAACTTGAAACTTCTCCTTAATGAGCAGGAGAACCCCTGGAGCACTAGCACACACCCTCCTAATGCTTAATTGCTTGGCTTTGTACTCTGAATACATTATAGACACATGTGTGAGTTACTTTTTCTTTTTTTTTGTTAAACCCGTTATAAAATAAAGCATTCCAACAGAATCTGGCTGCCTGTGTGTTTTGTTTGGAATTAAAATGGGGGAGGGGGAGAGAAGGCTTTCCTGATGATTCAGTTACATGGGACAACCACGAAAAGGAAAAGAATAGTGCCTGGTTCCTATTTATTGCGTGGAAGCTACCCTTTGGCGTACCTATGACTGTTGCACCTTTTGTCCCACACAGAATAGACTGATCTTCAACTGACGATGGATTAACTATTTGGAATCCTTCAGCTGTAGCTCAGAATTTACTCCCTCTGCCTTTCGGTCTGACATCCAACCACCCTGCACAGGGAAGAATTCTCTTTCACCAACTCCCTATCCATTCCTTCCTCATAATCTCCTACTGCAGCGGTGGATCACAATTTGAAAATTTATTTTAACTGCCATCAGATGTAGCACTATGCTGAGACACTTTGAGTTCTGTGTCTACACAGCAAATGATTTCATAACTTGAGTGCAGGTTTTGATCCTGGTTTGGCCACTTTGGCAGTCTGTGCCGTTGTGTTTATTGGCTGGACAGATGTTCAGTGCTTTCCAGGCCTGCCTCCTCTGGTGGGCACCTGTCCAGAGGCAGTGCCCCGGCTTCCCTGCCCCATTTCCTCTGGACACTGCCTCGGAGTGGGTGCCTGCTGGGAAGGTGGAGGAGCTGGGAAAAGCCAATAAACAAAACGTCACAAGCCATCGAATGAGTGGTCCATGCCCATCTCTATTATTAAACATCTAGCCATACTGACCTTAATTATGAAAAAGGAAACTACTTGTGTCACTCCATCCACAGGGAAGTAATCGCACAGTTTAACAAAATGGTTGAAATTAAATGCATCCAGTGTCCATCACAGAAAATATTGACCACAAATTGTCACTCATCCTCTTACAAGGGGTGTGTGTGTGGCATTGTCTTTTGACTTATGTGTCATCCAAATATGTGAATGGGACAGGAACCTGGCCAAGGTTAAAACTGGCAGACTTCGCCTACCTTAGCAGTTCTTTGTGTATATTTGTATGTTTGCTAGTTTTGCCAAGTGTAAAAAGGGACAAGCCTTTGGAGTGTTTGAGGATGAGAATTCTACTGTACAGTCACCTTATCTCATTCATTTTAATTTAGATGACAGCTTCCCTCTGTAGCCATCCTGTATCTTCTCTGTTCCTGCCCCCCCATGCCACACATATAGACCTTTTTAAAAAATAAAAAGAATATGGACACAAAATCTTTTGGACACAATGACTAGTAGCACTGGGCACCGTTTATTCAGAAGCTCTTTTAGTCACAGTTTGCACTGTAGGGATACGTTGCTGGGATGGGGTGGGGGACCCTTTCTGAATGCTTGTGACGTTGATGCAAGAATATCAGAAAGGTTGATGGTAACATTTGAACATGTTCAGGAAGTCTGATCCTGCCTTTGTGAGATAAATGTGACTCTGATTCATGTTATTCTGAAAAGCAATTCACACAGTCAATTTTTTCATATGTTGAACGTCCCCCTGATCCAATTCCATACACGTGTTCTGTGGATTTGTGTTGGGTTGACCATTATCAAATTCTTACACTGTCTAGATCGCAGTTTGCTGTTCTCGATTTCATCTCGATTTTGGAGGTTAAAAACTCTTTCTGTGTTTTGGTCGTCTTTCATCCTGACAGCTGTATCTTTCTTTCCTTTGTCACATTTTAGTCCTTTAACCTTTATCCGGAGTAATGCTGCCTAAACCATTCACTTCTGTTCACAGTATCCCCCATCAAACCTTATACAGTATTTCAAGCACACCAAAGTAAAAACGTAACTGTTTTTGTGCTTGCTTATCTTATGAGATACCATTATGGTATTTAAATTCCATAAATGCCTGTTCAGGATGTCTGCTATAGCATGTTTTAGAGTACACCCAAAATTAATTCAGCCTGGCAACACCAAATGTCACTTAAAGCTGTCTTCATCACTGTTTAAGACATGTCTAAAAGGATGAGTTCTGACATTTGGCTGCAACATGTACTCTTAAGAGGAAGGGAAAAGTGAGTACTTTTGTATATCTCTCATCCTGAGCTGTAACCTGAAATTTGAAATGCCAATTATTGTAATGCTATCTGAGGGAAAACCAGAAGAGACAGCATGCTAACGTTGTGCATGAATTTAACTCTCCTCTGTGACATGCAACATGTCATTTTACAATCCAGCTTGTTTGAGATGGGGACAGTCACCACATGTAGAAGAATAGCTAGAAAATATCAGAGATTCCAGAGGATGTTTGGTGAAAGATTAGGAAGTGACTTTACGGGCAATCTGTTGTCTTCATATGTAACAATTTTCTTGTGTCCTGATGGAGTCCACAAGTGGCATGTAAAGAAAATGTATGTTAGATCCACAGAAGGCTTATGGAAAAAGAATATATATCTAGTATATGCACAAAATCTGGTGTGGGGCATGCATGCCCTCTTGTTATGGATTTGTTTCATGATAGTCCTTCATATCTTGGAGTATAATTTCAGCTCTTTTGTTTGCTCTTTTAACTATTATTCCATGGAGACAGGTGGCAGCCATGTGTGTCTCTTCTCCAGTGAGTTCACTGGGAACTAGTGCATTGGCATTGTCTTGGCTACAGCTGAGGACACAAAGTAAAGAATAAACCATCTCCAACCACCACAATGCTGTCATAAGAGTGAGAAAGGAAGGCATGGGAGCAATGTATGCCACTTCAGTGGGTATGGATCAAGCTTGTGTGAGGGTGACTGTCACTTCCCATTACAAAATTCGCAAGTAGGCGATATGTTTACTAGGACCAACCAAAATGTCACAAGTTAGTGTGTGGACTTTCAAATTCCCCATACCTCTTTTTCAAGGTGAATTGTCAAAGTACACAAGTCAGCAAGAAATAGGAAAGAGGGACTTAAAAAGAACAAGCAGAATTTAGGTCAATGTTATAGTCACACAGTCTATTTTTAGTGCCAGTCTCAAAGAGATTACAAGAATAAATAAATTATCCTCAGCTAGATGCTGCAGGTAAAATATCCACACAACCTCAAATATCTGTCCTATCCTGATGGTTTGTCATAGCCCAGTGCCCTGATTCCCAAAGTAATGACTGCAAAAGTCAGCGAGAAAAGTTCAGAGTAGTAGTTTGATTTTTTTTTTTAAAAAAATGTTAATCGGAACTCTCAAGTCCTTTTCAAATTTTTGACTTGCTCCTGTTGTTTTTATAAGCTGCAATAAAAGCAGACACAATAGACGTCTTGTTTTCCTGGTGTATTGCCTAAACTGTAGAATTAAAGGGAATTAAAAGGATTGCTTTTACTGTAGAGGCTGTACTTGTGTGATTATTCAGGGAAACTATTAGAGTCAAATGGGAGCAAAACTGATAGAAACTTGCAATTTACATGTAATGTTTACAGGTTAGAAGAATCACAGTTTCTTATAAAAGTGTGGGAGCAGTATTAGTAAGATAAAGGTAAAGGTTGCCCTGGACAATTTTTTTGTCCAGTCGTGTTCGACTCTAGGGGGTGGTGCTCATCCCCATTTCCAAGCCATAGAGTCAGAGTTTTGTCTGAAGACAATCTTCTGTGGTCACATGGCCAGTGCGACTTAGACATGGAACGCTGTTACCTTCCCACCGAGGTGGTCCCTATTTATCTACTCGCATTTTGCATGCTTTCGAATGGCTAGGTTGGCAGGAGCTGGGACAAGCGACGGGAGCTCACTCCGTCACATGGATTCGATCTTACGACTGCTGGTCTTCTGACCCTGCAGCACAGGCTTCTGCAGTTTAGCCCGCAGCGCCATCACGTCCCATACAGTACTAGTAAAATAGCCCAAAGTAAGTCAGTTTTCTTGTTTGTGTAAACAGAAGTAGTATTTTTCAGATGTTTCAAAGCATTCTCTTTCTAAAATTGCTTTCCTTTCTCATGCACCAGTGTAGCAACTGTTCTAAAAGGAAGCAAGAAGATGTATTTCAGTGCAACGTTATTCCCTCTGGTGTATGTGAAGATCTATGGACTATGGACTAGACTAGATCTATGGACTAGACTCTGTAAATTGGACTCTGAAGGGAATAAATAGCCTGTCCTTCACTCTTTGGTCAAGCCATGGGTAGGGAAAAATCCTAAAAAATGTACACATCCCTGAGATGATCGAGTAATGAAGACATAGGAGTCCCCCTCAAATTTGTTGCAATTCTTCTGGCCTGTAAACATTATATCTAAATTGCAAGTTTCTATCAGTTTTGCTTCCATTTAACTCTAATAGTTTTCTTGGAGAATATACAGTCAAAGCAGTCCTTTTCAGTCCCTTTAATTCTACAGCTTAGGCAACACACCAACAAAACAAGACATCTCTTGTATTTTTTCTGTTATTGTAACTTATAATAACAACAGGAGCAAGTCAGAAGTTGAGAAGGACTTGAGAGTTCAGATTCATATATATGA